TCCGCCATATCATTTCCGGGAATGCCATTCCATTAACAGAGCGCAGTAATCACAAGGTAAAGCTTGCAGCTTCCTTTGTAACCAGCGGCACGTGTGCAGACTGTCGCTTGTTTAAGCAGTATCAAAGCATTGTTTACTTCCTAACGAAGATCAAAGCTCTAGCAGTCGTCTCGTCTCGGACGACGAGCAAAAAATGCCGATGAAATAAAGAAAGAAAGGTAGCAACACTATCGCCACCCCGACGCATAGATTTCGGCAAACACAGAAATTACGACATTGTGAATATTTTCAGATTTGTGAGGAGAGTCTGAAGGAAACCACGGCCCCATTCAATCGATAGATACTGATCAGCTTATGTTGTAGTAGGTCACGTGTGCCCCCTTCCACCGCGTGCGCGTTTACGTCATTCCGCCTAGCCTCTTACGTCAGCAGCAGTTACTACAGTGCATTACCGGCACAAGGGATCTTATTCACATTTACTTCCTTCCATGTAGACCACAAATTCCAAGCAATGGGTCTTGCTTTTCTGGTTACAGTCTGAAGCACAGTGAACCAGCTGTGTGGAGTACTCCGGTGTATTGGCGCTTTTGGAATTTATAAATTCGTAGTTTTAATTAATTTTAAGTAAAATTAAATTAAATGTTTTAGTTTGTTACAAGGTACTTTTCATTTGTGTATCTATTTTGTGCCGTTTCCAGCTAATTAAGCCGTTAGTATGCGCAGCTGTCTGAATTGGTTTTTAGTATGAGAGAACGAACTCTGATTTCCATGTGGGGAGGGTCGTGGCCTTAGTACATTGTAATACACAATGAAAGTATTCTGGCTTGGCGATACCGCCCACGAGGGAATTGCACTATCAGAAGACCAATAAAGACACACTGATCAGACTGAGGGGCCAAAATGGACTCCGTAACTCTGTGTGGGGTCTGAGGCCGTTAGAGCAGTAGTTGGGAAGACTTGTGTCTTTTGAGATATAAGACCCTGTAGTCAATTGAAAGACAACCGACGTTTCGGAGGAACATCTCGCCTCCATTTTCAGGGTTGCAGAATGAGCCAGACAGAGCTCTGCGTGCTGCCTGCTTTGTGCTGATTTCTTGCTTGGCTTACTCTTCAACTTTGAAGATAGAAGCGATATGTTTCTCCGAAACCGTCGGTTGACATTCAGCGGACCATAGGGCGTTATATCCCAGAAGGCAGCATTCTTTAATCTGTGTAGTTGATAATGGTGGTAGTGATGGATATGAAATTATTCATAACTTCGTGAATATAATAACATTGTTTGTATTTTCCTGATCACAGTTGAAAATAATTCACTTCCTTTTTAAGGTTTACACCCTTGCTTTATATCCGAGAAATGTTGGGTTGAATGCCGACTGTTACCAGATGACCCGACAGATTCTTTGCTGAGTTTCCTCAGTTCATCCAGGCAAATGCAGGAACTGTGGTCCTTAACAAAACCTACGAGCCCGCCATGATATTCCTCTGGGTGCGGACACAGTCAGAAAGTTTGCGTACAAGCTAACGTTTAAGCTGCTAAAGACCGATTTACTGATCGCCCTACCATGTAGAGGATTCAGGGCAGAAGAATATTAAAAGGAAACTGAGCCGGCAGAGCTGAGTCAGTATAGCAATGGGCTGGACGACCGGGGTGCGATTCCCGGCAGGGGTAAGAGATTTTTCTCCTCTCCACAGTGCCCAGACCGATTCTGGGGCACACCCAGCTTCCTGTACAGTGGATAACGGGGGATCATTTCCAAGAAGGTAAAGCGGTCGAGGCGTGAAGCTGACCACTCACCTTCATCTAGCGCCGAGGTCAAGAATGGTGGAACTATATTCCACTCCCTCACGTGACTTCATAGCGTAGTCATTAATTAACTAATCACAGGGAAAACTTTACATTTTACCTTACTTCAAATTATCATTACTATTAATATTTGTTATGTTCACCACCTTTCTTCAATTTTGACTACTCCCTNAAAAAAATCAAGGGATACAAATGGCCGGTTACCCCCCTTCCAGGTGCCCATGGCTGAGCCATTGTCACTATCTCCTCAGTCGCTCCCGACTCAGATTATTTATAATGTTAGCCATTCGCTTGACCCACGCGCAGCGAGCTCTATACTCCCCGGGCGTACGTTGAGTTTGGCCACCCTGCATGAGTTTACGTCACACCTCATCCCACACAACGCCAACCCCGATACACCAGTGGCCCTCACATCCGTTATCAATAATTTAAACTGCCACGCTTCTTGTGCTTTATTATACCTTATAAAGCCACGATGACTTGGAAAGGTAAAGATGTTTCATCAAGATTAGGTGCATGATGTAATTAGAGCAAGAGGTGACAGGCGTGTGGGTATTGGTATTCAAAAGCAGGTAGATTCGAGAAACGTAGTTGTCCCTATGCTTAACTAGTTGTGCACCGCGCTATGAAGACGTATAGTGGAGTGGAGGTTTATATCCACGTATTCTTTAACCTTGGGGAGCCGGGGTAGCTCAGTCGGTATAGCGACTGGCTACGGGCTGGATGACCGAGGTGTTGGAGTTCGAGTCCCGGTAAGGTCAAGAATTTTCTCTTCTCCACATCATCCAGACCGGTTCTGGGGCCCACCCAACCTCCTATCCAATGGGTACCGGAGGCTCTTCCCCGGGGGGTAAAGTGGCCTTGACCACTCACTTCCATCAAGTGCCGAGGTAAAAAAAATGTGGATCTTATATGGACTCCCCGTGTGTCTTCATGGCGTAGTGCTTAATTAGTTAAGCACAGGGACAACTTTTTTTCTTTAATTCTTCGCCTTGGCACTATGTGTAAATTGGCCTGGCCAATTTACACCTGAGGAAAGAGCCCCTGTATCCATTCGATAGGAGGCTGAGTTGGCCATAGAGCTAGTCTGGACGCTGCGGAGAGGAGAAATATCTCTTATGCTACTGGGAATCAAACCCTGATTACTTAGCCACCCACACCGGAGCTCGTCTCTGTATTGGCAAAGGACATACAAGTATATTAAAGAGGAATAAGATGTAAGCTGAAGTTTGCCTGAAGGCAGAAGGGGATTCGCTGATTCTGAAGTATTCTAACAACAGCTTCAACTGAAGAAGTGTGCAATTAGAAGAGGTGATAGAATTTGGAATGAAGTGATTATGGCTTGTTATGATACCATCCTGAAGTTCTCCTGCATGAACTGAGGGACACTACAGTAAGCTTCAGAGTGAACATATAGTTCTACAGGACTATTGTGAAGAGAAAAGTTGGGAAATAAGCTAATTTCTTTAGTTTTTTGGAATGCAGTATGTCAGGACGTGAAATTAACACTGATCCACAAGCTAAGATTAAAGAATGTAGTAAAATAAATGGAGTTAATGAAGGACACTTCTAGAAGAATATGAGTCCAGAAATATAATTAAGGATGTTTATTGTGCTTTTGAGATCAGCGCTTATGTATGACAACAAAACACAGGTGCTGAGAAACCAAGACAAGAAATGGGTGGAAACATTTCAGTATTTCTTAGGTTAGTGCTAGGAGTTATACTGGGCGATAAAATGGGAAATTATGTTATATGACAACATCTGGGAACAGAAATTATATCAGATGAAACTAGTCACTACCAAGGAAACTGGAAAGAAACTTCACAAATGTTAACCCCTGACTCCATGCCATGGCGAGGATGTTGTTGCAAATCCTATGGGAAGATGTGACCTGTGAAGAGTTGGGAGGAGCAGTTGCAGTTAAGCTTGGAACATGTCTTGGGCCACATCATTACTACGGTAGAAGAAGAATAATACCGTGGTATGAGATTGTCACTTTCCTATGACCAAGTAGCAGGCATGTGTGCAATTTATGTTCATGTGTCTTATGAAGAATCATCTCTTATAGCGCCAGGGAACAGAACTTGACACCAGTGACAGGAGGCAGTAAGAATAGACATAGGTACACAATGTTTCATATTCTTAGTATCCTTGTACTTTAGGAGTTATCTGTTTTCATGCCTGAGTACTGTGAATGAAATTTACTGTGTTGAGTTCATGTAAATGATGATGAATGACTGAAATGATGTTGACAGAGGAAGAAGACATAAGCTTCAGCATCATAAATGAATGAATGAATGAAAAAACCCAAGCTGTTGCCACTAATTTCATAAATAACAACATTAAAATCATCTGTCAGTATATACAAAGTACTGTTAGTTCCTCGGAACTCTAGCCATAGTAGAGGGGTCATACCATCCTCGTTGAGCTGGGGGGGACAGTCTTATCAGCTTACGTCAGCGTGGGTACTACCAGTTTGGAATGTAGCGTCTTGGAGTGTGGTTAGGTGTATAGTATGTTATGTTGCTTGTTAGTTGGTCTCTGTAGGCAATGTTTTCTGCTCAGGGATTAGCTCTGAACGTCACCACAGCAAGCGTACAGCTTCGTGTGCTCCACCACAGCATTTACCTTTCTGCGCGGCTGAAGTTACGAGGCACTAACTATATGAGGTTCTCCTACTGAGGAACATTAATGCTGTGATCTCAGTCTCCTGAACGTAATTATATCCAGTTGCCTGAAGAGGGGAGCCGAACCAGGTCATCTGCACCTCCAGTTGTCAGTATCAACACAGTTTTGTTTAATTAAGCACCACACCATGAAGACACGTGGTCAAGTGGAGATGCATTCTTAACCTCAGACTTACTTGGAGGTGATTGGTCAGTTTCATTATCTAGCCACTTTATTCTGTAGAAATGGAGCCATGGTAACCATCTGATAGGCTTAGTAGGCCCCATAGTTGGTAGATGAGAGATTTCTTCTCTTTCTTTGAATCAAACACCTGCCAAACTATCTGTAATCTAATTACTTCTACCACAGCTGGTAACCTAGTTTTCATGTAGATTAACATTCACTACACAGCAATATTTAGTCAAGGAAATCTGGATACAGAAATCAGGGAGATATTTTACTTGCCCTGTGTATGCAACTGCACTTGAGTTTGCAGCATATGAATGACTGTGTTCTCATCTTACAGATTGTGAATCTCTGATTCGAAAGATGTTGGTGCTAGACCCAAGTAAGCGGTACAGTGTTGAGCATATCAAGAGGCATCGTTGGATGGTTGCGGAGGCTCCCAGACTGCTGCCAAGTACAGGTGGAGAGCAGCATGGGACAGAACCTAATGAACAGATATTGCGACTGATGCAGAGCCTGGGAATAGATGCAGTCAAAACGCGTGAGGTGAGTTGTTTTATGCTTCATTGTGCCCAGTACTTGGAGCCAAGACCGATGTTTTGTAAAGCACAAGCAAACAGTATTTAGAACTAATGGGAAGCATCATGCAGCCCGTGTTGACAGGTGTGGGGTGGAATAGCATAGGGAGCATCTGTGCGGCTGATTGAATGTTGTGAGTTACTTACTGTCTTTTACTGTATCAGTGTTGTGAAGTTATCATGACTGAAGTTGTGTCACTGATGTAACTTGCTGTTGATTGCAGTCTCTACATTCTGGGAGCTATGACCATCATGCAGCCATATATTTCCTATTGCTAGAACGGCTGAGACAGCAACGCAGTAACTTCCCACTTTCACAAGACACTAGTTCCACCAGTGGAGCAAGTGTCAAGCACTCGCTGGACTCCATGCAGCGCCGTCGCCCAAGCACCATAGCAGAACAAGCCATGCGCAAATTGGGCATCACAGTTCCCCCTAGTCTGGCCAGCAGTGGCATCCCAGAGAGCACCACCAGACGTGCTAGTGGAGACCAGACTCGATTGTCCTATACCCCACAAGACATCACACCTCAGTTCCAGGCAGTTCCCACCCAACAAGATTTCACAGTGGCACGATCCAGCAGCCGAACTGCCCCTTCCACGGACATTCGCCTCGTGAACCATCCCCCACCTTTCAGAGAGCTCTACCAATACCAACACTCATTGCAGCAGTCCCGCAACAGCAATCTGGGCAGTTCTTTGTCTTCAGGAGTGGTCCCTATGGTGCAGTATGTGGATGAAGGTGTAGAGACAGATATGGAGGACTCCCCTGCAAGTAGCATCAGATCACAGCATCAGCGCCTGGCTTCGTATGCAAGCTCATCATCCTCAAGTGGGAACAAGAGTTTGAGCCAACATCTCAGCTCTGATTCCTGCTCTGGATCCACATTCGATGACTACCAACTGGAATCTGATCTTGCCTCCAGCCTGCCCTCCTGTAGCACACCCCAAGAGAGTGTTGCCACTGCTGTGTATAGCAAGCCACACAATCCACTGCTGCACAGTGCTACCAACCGTGCCAACACACGCTCGCCTGTTGATTTCAGAGAGGGACGGCGGGCGTCAGATGGCTTAGTGGCCCAGCAGGGAGTGGATGGAGGTAGTGGGAGTGGGACAGGTGGGGGTGTGATTGCGTTCAACAGTCAACGGCTTAATGAAACAGGCAAAGCCAAGGGTATTATGGAGCTGCATCTCGTTCAGCGTGAACATCAGGCCTTAAGAAGCCGGTATCAGCCAGCTGAACAGCATTCACAATATGCTCGTTCCACAAATAGAGTCAGCCTGCCACTGAGCCTGCTGCAGCAGAAGAGGCAGATACTGCAGAAACAGGGTGCTTTTCAGCAGCCTAGTGTGAGTGAGGTGATGAGTAGACGTCAAATGCTGCGCCAAGCCTCATATAAACTTGCCCAGCAAACTCAGATACTTCCTCCCCTCCCTCATCAGGAGACAATCATAGAAGACAGGGCTCTCCAGTACAAGCACGCTACTGATGGCGAGTTTGGAGACCAGGTGGCATTCCAGACTATCACTGAAGACAGCAGCAATGGCGTTCTTCCACAGGGAGCCAGAGTCCTCCTGACTCCACAAGTAGACGTAGCTAGAGCGCTCCCAACATTGGAAGATGACCCTGGGGGGGAGCAGTGGCAGTCGCTACCAAGCACTCTTGCATCAGCATGCCACATTAGTGACTCCCAGTCATGGGGACACACACTTTGTGAAGGGATCCCAACATGGCAGCAGCAGACAACGCACCCTGTCACAGGCTGGAATCAGGTAGCTCAAGAGTGACAAGTGTGCCATGTTCACACACAGACTGTTGTGGCCATCTTATGTTCACATGTTTGGTCTTGAAGACCTAAATGAACCTCATTGCTTGTAGTCTTAAATCACAACAAACTGTTTCATATAGCAGTCACATTATTTGAACAAAAAATAGATTCATATTATATATTACTTGCTCAATATGACGAGCCATATTTGTTGGAAATTGATATTCAGAGCTCCCATAAAGAACGCGCAGGCACAGGCCCCATATCTTGTGCCATGTAATTATCACATTTACGCACTTTGTCTCTCCATTTTAACTTGGAATGTGAAATAATTTGATCTCACATAATTTTTTGTGCTTATTTTACAAGTTTGCTTTAGGGACTGCACATCTGTATGCCTTGCCTCTTCACTTCAGTCACATATTTCAGTTCAATATATAGGATGATCCAAAGATTTGTAATGATCATAAAGCTATTCCTGTAACAGGCTGTGGAGGCCCAAAGGGTTGTGAGACGTCAAGGCTTCCACATTTTCTAGACAATCAGCTCACAAGTGGCGGTGAAGTCATCAGCCTCACTTGCCAGCTGCCCTTTACCCCCAGGAAGATTCATGGTACTCATTTCTGTTAGAGGCTAAGTCAACTCCAGAGCCATAGTGCGGCTGGAGGGATTTGATCATTTGAAAAATCATCGGGAATTGAACCCATGACCTTCCGTCTTGTAGCATAGCGTGTCAACCAACTATACTACCACGTGCCCCTTGTAATGATCATAGTGCAACAAACAAAATTACCCTTCTGTTTTAGCAGGCACTTTTTTGTTTTATTCTTAACCTCTACACTGTGTGCATGAAAGCTGGAGTTTCAGTGTCATGTGCTGGTTAAAAATTATGCAGTGTAAGAAGTAAGATCTTTAATTACAGTTTTATTGCCACCAACAGTAATCCCATATCATAGTGTCTGTTTAAATGAATTTTTGACTCAGGTGTCTGTTACTAGGTGCCACATTTATTACTAAATGGCAGATGTCGATTATACGAGTAAAGTAACTCCAGACATTTACTGTATGTGACAGAAAGTTCCATTGAGCTGTGTATATAATCTTAGAGCTGGAATTGTTTTCTTCATGTTTTCAATATCAAGACTATTTAGTGTCACATGGTCAGGTGACTGATGGATTTGAATGGATTCAGAAGAATATGTTCATGGCTTAAACAAGTTATAACCCTGGCATTTGTCTTTAGAGACTGAGTAAAGCTGTGAAAACCCTTTGTCAAGTTAGTTAATCCAGCCAAATTCAAGCATCTTTTGAATAAAAGCCTAGAAGGTTACCTCTGCACTGACCTGCTTGGTAGCTGGCACTGGGTGTGTTCAAATCTGTGATAAATAAACACATCCATGATGGCTCAGTGCATCTACATAGCACTTCATGGTATCTCAGTCCTACCAATCATGTGATCTTCCTGACCTCTGCCTACCTGACAGGAGTGATTATCCTGTCTTTTTGTTATATTGATGAGGGACTTCCAACATATTGTTTGCTCTGTATTGTGATAGTGCTTACACCACTGTACTCTAACAAAACTTAATCTCATCAGAAGTCAGGGATGGGGAAGACATTAAAAAATATGCACAGTTGATCAAATTGGTTTGGTCTTACCCCCTTGGTCAACACATCCACTTTGATAAAATTAATTGGTTCCTGTCTGATTTGGCACAATCCCATTCATTTCCCCACCTTGCTGTTTAACATAATATTTCAGTTCTGAAGAAGGTGAAATTGCATGAGTAAATATGGTAGTATATAATTAATTACATGGAACTTACACATTATTCTTGTGTATTTCACTGGATATAAATTGTGCTTGCTGCGTGACTGTTGTGCCTAAAGTCATGTGAACATGGTATACTTGTCTTGTGTGCGAGTTCCTTTAGAAATTTAGTGTTGATGTCGTGGTAGTATTGCATGGCTACGTGAGTCTGTGAGTTGCAAGTTTTAGCCATGTTGACTTGTGCTGAAGAAACTGTGAATCAAGTCTGCTCCTTTATTTTGTAGTGGCAGTGCTGTAGAGACAGATAAAGATGACTGTGTTGCGTATGCTAAACACATGTGCTCTTATGCTAGAATTATGTTATTCCCATTACAAGAAGATTTAATCACCAAGACCTCATATACAATCACATTCACATGATTTAGTATGTCCTATACCACTTATACAGGGAAGCAATTGATGTTATTACCTCAAAAGTTCAAAACTGGATGATCATCGAATTAGATAATAAGGACAATTCTTTAATATAAATGTCTTTTGTAGATTTGGTGCCTGATTTTCTGGAAGTAAGGTTTAAGGGAATCTGTTTTCTATTCAGCAGCCAGCTTCTGCAGTTTCACAGCCTAATGTAACTTTCCGTGAGGAAATCTGTTCACCCTTCTTCACCATTGTTTCCAAATGATGTTCCGCAAAGTCAAAATAAAGGTGCTGCAAGAAAATTCCATTATTGTATAAAATAATAATTATTATCGTCATCACCATCATCATCAGGTTAACTTGAAATAATTTTCATTTTGGAGCATATTTAGATTAGAAATGTAACTTTTAAAGGAAGAAATAAATAAAATAAACTGTGTTTTTGCTTCAGAAGAAAAAGCTTAATCAAAATGTGCAATACATAAGCTGATGACCTTTGCTAGCACATACTCATGTGAAACTGGATTCTCAAATTACATAGCAACAAAAACAAAATAGAGAAACAGACTATATGTGGGGCCAGTTTTGAGAATTAAACCTTCTAATATAAAGCCAAACATAAAAAAAAATTGAAGTTAAAAAGAAAAACCACTCTTTACATTGAAAATTTCAACAATATGGCATATTAGTTTTTAAGCTTGATTTTTCATGTATGTGAAATGTGATTTCTGTTTCTAAATACGTTCAGTTAAATAATATATTGATCTCATATCCTTCTTTAAGGTTTATTTATTATTATCCTTATTTGTGGTTTAGTTTCTTAGCTCCATATTAGAATTGTACAATGTCCAGGGTTCCATAAAAACGTTTCTTAGCTCCATATTAGAATTGTACAATATCGGGGGTTCCATGGCCAAATTGAACTGGGAAACGCTGATCTAGACCAGTGGTTCCCACAGATTCTTTTAATACATTTTTGTAATGTTGTATCTGATTTAGAACTGCAAACAAAATATGTTCCTTTTATTACTATTATAAGTTTGCATGATAATTTTCCTGATGAGAGTGTTTCATGCTGGAGGTCTGTTCAGAATTTTCAGAGGAATAATATAAAAGGCTCCCCTGCGTAAAAAATATTGACCAAAACAGCACTTACTTAAAATATGTACACTGAAATGCTTATTTCTTAATGTCTTGTTTTGGTTCTTTTATTTTGTAAAATTGTTAGTAAATAATGTAAGATTTTCTGCAGAAATTTAAGTATTATTTTGTTCTGTACTTCACTTATCTTAAAGTTTAATTTTAAATGCTGATTGTAGGGTCATTACTTTTTATTTGTCTGCTTTAAAATATGCAAGCAATGCAAATTGTAGGACAGTGAAATCTAGGTGCCTTAGTGGAGACTGCATTTCTCTTTAACTCATGTTCTCAGGTTGCCTGTTTTGTCTATCTAAAACATCTTTGAAAATTCATCATACTCTGATTAGACAATGCTAAAACGTCTTGTGTGTTCAACAGTATTCTGGAATGGTGATTTTGGTTCCTATCCTATGCTTAAAATAGAATCTTGTAACTCTCTCTTGATGATGTAATGGTCTGATGACACACCTTCAAAGGTGTTTTAGATACATTGTCTCACTTTTCTCATTTCAATGTGTGTGATGTGCAACAGAGGAAAAACTCATAGAGGGAGAACTTTGACAAAGGAAAATGGAATATACTAGTCTGTTGGGGAATTAAGGTAATTCATTTCAATTAAATTTTACTCCTCATGTGGTGCACTGCTGTAACAGCTCTTGCATGTAGCCCAGCTGTTCGAAAATTGTATTTTTTTTTTAATAATAATTTGGTTATGTCTGAATCAAAATCTGGTTGCCAGTCAGTACTAGGTGAAATACCCTATTCCCAAGCAATAAAGTCATACTGGTGCAGTAAAGATATCATCATTGGAATATAGCTTTCATGGGTCAACTGTTAGAATAAAGTACATTTGTTTCTTCTCGTTAACATATCCCTCATATTACCCTTCTAGCCTGTAAGGTTCTCATTGAAATTGAATGCCTGTCAAGTGTAGATTTAGTCATTCTGTCATTATGAAGATACTAATTTCTGGGATGAGATGCCATATAATCTGATAGAAAGTTACCAGCATTATGGAGGAATGTACTGTTTTGATCTTCACCACAGAAGAGGAAGCAGTTTCTCCTTGCTGCTTGCTTGTCTCATGCTTGGCTTAATCTCTGCTTGCTGCTTGCCTGACTTTCTCTTCAGCTCTGAAAACAGACAGTATGTTCCTCTAAAACATCAGGAATCTTCTACAAGACTACGCCCTGTTACATGTCAGGAGATATTACTCTTCCCAGTCACAAATTTAATAATCACAAAATCTAAAATTTTGTTAGTAGTTTGTAACAGTTGATTTCCATATAATGACACATTGGTAAAGTACATTACCATGACCTGAAATGAGTACAGCGAGAAATGATCTAACATTCCTGTCATGGCACTGTTTGTCAGTGTAATGAACAAAATGTTGTATGGAGTGGCAATTGATGGATATTACTTTCTCCTAATGGAATAATATACTTGTAACTGGCAATTTTATTTGTTTGTAAAAGTGTAACAACAATGTGCAAACAAACCCTGGGGAAGTTCTAGTTCTGTTAAAATTTCAAGAAGGAAGTTCTGTCAAAGGAAATTCATTGTAATGCTGAGATTGAAAGATTTGCAGGTATGCATTTCTAATATTTTTCAAACTTCTCCCCCCTGTATAATGGATCCTTAACTTCCTGCATGCCATTTCTTCAGAACTAACTGTCGCTTAATTCTTCATTATTCTTCCTGTACTTGACAAACACACACTTTGCTGGCACACCAGCTATGGTGACTGAGGTCTTCTGTGGTTGTATTCAGTCCCTCCAGGCAAATACCAGGATGGTACCTCTGTTAGGCAACAGTTGTTTCTTCCCAAAACCTTTCCAATTCATTATTTATCACTGACCCTACCTTTCAGCACTCTGTAGTCTAGATCCTGAAAGCACTGTGAAGTAACCCGCAGAAAGGGCTGCACTGTAGCTCAAGTGGTTAGTTGCTGGCTTCCCACCATGGTGGTCCGCGTTCGATCCTGGGTCTGGTCAAGTGGGATTTATGGTGGACAAAGTGGCGCTGGGGCAGGTTTTCTCTGAGTACTTCGGTTTCCCCTGCCAATCTTCATTCCACTAATTGCTCCACAATCGCCCTCACCTATCATCTGGGGCTGGTACAATAGGCCAGAAGTGGCCGCAGTACAAGAGTTTTAGTCCCACCCCACTAGCAATAAAAAGAAACCCGCAGATAAGATGAGCATGCCTTAGAACTGTTATAACTGAAGGAAATGATGAACTCCTAAGCAGTCATGGCCATTTGATAAGGGTTGATGTAACTTTTCATGGACATCCATCTGTCTGTCATCACTTTCTAAGTAACTGCAGTTTTGCAAGTTGGCTCCCTGACTATCCTGACTGAAGTTCTTCATGGCTTTCATTGGTTCTTCCAGGGAATTGCCAGGACAGTACCCTAGATTACAGCTACACTCTTCCATGTTCTTTCCAACTCATTGTTTAATATCATCCAAACATATAATGCTGTATACCTCCAACTAGTGCCAAGGTCAAGTAAATGTGGATCTGTACAACCACTTCCCCATGTACCTTCATGGCATAGTGTTTAATTTGTTAAGCACATGGACAACTTTGTTAAATAAACTACAAATAAGTGAGTATAAACGGTTTTGTGTTTTTCAGCCATGATCTTGATATCGCCTTCACCCATTCAATCTGTTTTCTCAGATAAGAATTTGCTAGCAGCAGTTTGTAAGAGAATTTTGCAATAGTCACATTTGAGGCATAGCAGACCTAGCATGTGTTAATTGTCTGCCCAGCGTGGTGTTGAAGAAATTACTTTAACCCCACAACTGCCAAGCCCTTCCATAGGACAACCCACTAGAAATGCCAAGACTGCTTGGAGGTTAATGCATTTGCATAGAAAACCCACAATACTTCCTCAAATGACCCTGAAACAATAACAGCTACAGATCACATGCAAAAAAGGTTCTTTCTTCTGCTTGGTTTGTTACACTTGATGCCACTTCTTGGCAGAAATGCAGTTCCGAGTAATTAACAGCGAATTGATCTCTTTGGCTATGGGAATTTTAATTCATGTACTCCAAGTTGATTTTAGCAGTTTATGGAATGCAAAGGGTTAACTACTCACCCAGCCATATTTTAATAATAAATATAATATGTAAACTAAGAGTTTACACTAATATAATTCTCTGTGGAATAGGGAAGTCTGTATTTGTGAAACAGAGAACCATGATTTATGGCTGCAGAAATATGGTTCCTAAGAAGTGCTTTATATAATTGATAATAAGTAATGACTGTAATAATAAATGTATTAGGAGTGAAGACAATATTTATCAATTAAAATGAGTTAATATAGTCACTGACATTAGAGTAATTATATGTTTACAGTATCGGTTTTTAAGTAGAAGACATTTAATGCATGATGGAAAACTGTAGAGGTCCAGATTGATCTAGCCTAAGGTATTACAGCGATTAAGGTTAATTTTATGTTGTACCCAAGAGGTAGGAATTTACCACACAATTTCTATATTAATAGATCTTTAATCACACTTTGTCAGGTGCATGAGTCAGTTCGAGGTCAAATGTGTTGAGAGAATGATTATACGGAATGAATTGAAATGGATGAGGGCAGAAGCCGTTGTTTCAAGGGACTGCTCTTTAAGGAATTGGGAAACTTGTGACTCTGAACTCGGTACCTTGCAAACATAATTGAGATTGCTGTTGTTTGCTTATAGTCAAGGTGCTTTGATGTGGGACGGAGGAAAATATATGGTAGTCCCCCAGTCCAAAGTGGCATTGGATTTATTTTATCATAATTTGGACAAAAACATCATTTTGCTTATTTTTAATCACAAAGCAATTCTCCCTATACACTGTACATGAAGTTATTTCATTAATAGAAATGGCATGTTTCAATTACCCTGCAGTCATCTATAGGTTCCTTGCATTTTATGTCTTGTAATGCAGTGTTTCTGGTCTCTTGTGTGATCTGTTGATTTTCTTTTAGCAAGTACAGGTATTATGCTGTGTCTGAAAATCTGTGAGGGTGCATCGTACCTTGTATAGGCAGTGTTATGGAAGAAAAGACAAGGCCTGTACTATATCGATTTATTTCACATATATTTAAAATAGAACATTTTTATTGCTGATATAATGACGTTTCACTGTCTGGTGATGATGCAACTGCAGAGATGTTTTAAATGCAATATAGTTTAAAATTAGAATTAAGATGTATTTAAGCTGTAATTAGAATTGATGTTGAACTTAATATTAAAAATTTGATATTATATTGGGTTTCTTCCCTCTTTTGTTATGACTGTATGATTGCTCGTGGATCAGTATTGTGTTTGTCCCCTCTCACTGTTTTAGTAGTTCCTTCTTATTGCTGCTTTATGTTCATGTTTCTTGGTACTTTCTGTATGGCTCTTAGAATAGAACTGCGACACACAACACATCGGCTGAAAATGACTATATGGCAGATGAAAAGTATAATTTCATTAACTAATTACCTTGCTGTCTAGTGTATGGTGGAATATCTTTTGGTTAATAAACAATTACAACAAGTGAACAGCATCACTGGTGCGTTACTTTGAGTGACAATTAGGTGCAGCATTTTGAGCCAAACACAAGATGCTATATATAATACAGAACTGTGGCATATATAAGTATGTTCATATTTATGGAACTGAAATGAAATGGTCCATAGGAGAAATCTAGTCGCCCAGATAGTACGAAGTTGAGATCATTTTAACATAGTAAGTGATATCTTGTCAGATGAGATACATTGTGAATCTCATACTAGCAATTTATTATTACCACTGAAGACTTTACAATGTAATGAAACATTAGTTCTTTGCCATCAGTGTAACTGTATAAAGTGAGTGACATTTCGTGAGTCATGTTTTGTTTGCAGCTTTGTAGCATCATCATCATCACCACCACCACCACCATTACTGTTATTGCTACTCCACTATTCTTAATATTATTTTCTTTGTTAACATTACTCATATTTATGATTTGCATGATATCACAGACTTTGTCATAATTTTATTATTAAATGGTATGTTCAAGTATCATTGTGTCTTTTGTTATGATTTATTTCCTGCTTTTGGCCCATTAAGCATGACATATGCAATAGCCTTGCCATGGCACACAGTTGTAATAAGTATTCAGTGATGAAGCCATGGTTCACACTGAAGCAGCTATGCAGTAAGAGTAACATAACTCACACTGGAATAGGTATGCAATGATGACAACTGCAGAAGCCAGGGAAATGTGCGGGACAAGCAGAAGAAATTAATTATATTGCTGCAACAGTAATAAGTGGACACAGAGTTTGGAAACATTAGCTGCAGGATCCAGTGTGAGAACATGGTATTAATATTGTGTCTGTGCTAATACTTGTTTTTTCTATAATGTACAGTAATCAGAATAGTGTCACATGATACTGTAGTGTACTTGGTCAGTTGCAATGAACATTATATATACCATAGAAAATATCTTTGAGAAATGAATGAATTAGGAATGGACAGTTGTTTGCTGTAAAATAGTGTATTATTTTTCTTAAATTTTGAATTGATCTTCCAAAAAATCGTTAGGAAAGATGCCACCTAGTAAGTGAAGGTGTAAGAAAGTGCAATGAGGAGGCAAACAAGAAAAATGAGCTATCAACTATGCAGATATTGGGATGATATTAAAAAAGAAGACAGGAAAAGAAAACAAAAAGTGCCCAGACTAACTGCTGTCTGCCGCGGAAAAGACAAGCATCTTGTTGCCAGTATACTATTTGTTTATGTAAGATTTGAGGTCCTCACAGGGAGTGTAATGATGTGCTGGGGTATAATGCCTTACAGTCCATTGATAGTCAACCGATGTTTTGGAGGAACATGTGGTCTCTACTTGCTGCATGCTTCATGCTGCTTTCTTGCTTCGCTTACTCATGAGCCCTGAAGATGAAGGTGTCTTGTCCTCCTAAATATCACTGAACTTTCAATGAAATACAGGGCGTTATATTCCAGAAGACAAAACTCACTCTCAGTTGAAAACCCGCCAGACAAATTTGTGTTATCTGTAGGTCTGCATATGTAAGTGTATGATTGATGCGTCATCTGAAAGTTCATACAAGGCTGGTGTGTTTAAAATAAATATCCAGACGTTTATTCAGCTGTGAGTTGCAGGTTATATATGTGGCGTCACGAATCTGGAAGAAAGTACATCATGAGACTGCTAAGTGTTTCAGATATAATTATAGCTGTCAGAAACAACAGAGGAAGTTCTTCCAGGTGGAAATGTTTCTGATTTGCATTTGGAAAGTGCTTGGTTCGATTCTCAGCCGGGACGCTAACTATCCTGTCTGAGTTTTTTTTAATTTTCTCCAGTCTGTCCAGGCTAATACCGGGATAATGCCTTCATATTGGCCATGACTCCTTCCTTCCACATCCTTGTTAATTCATCAAACATTAATCATATCATTTGACGCAATCTATATTTTTGAGCTGTTGTCAGCGTCATAAAGTAAACAATAAATAAATAAAAGACAGCATTGGTTTAATGTAAAGCATTTTCCTGAATTTTTACTATTATATAATTTATTGCAGTACTTTAGTGTAGCGTGTTCTGTATGTATAAATTTTCTGTGTTAAAATGTTACATGCATGACTAGAAATGAACAGCGTGGCTTTACTCAGCTTCATGTGCCGTCCTTGTCCTCCTGCATCTGTGTCGAGTGAACCATAATTCTGTCATGTGGCCATGTAAAATGGCTGCCTTTAAATCAATCATTATCTCCCAGTATATTCACATTGTCAACATAGACCAGCAGCTGATATGTCCCATTAAATTTCAATGGGAATAAAGCATCTTGTATTAGACCATTATGGATGGGAAACTTATCAGACAAATTTTTACCTATACAGACTTTCATACATGTTTCATTTTTACACAATTTAATTAGCCTAACTAGTTTCATGAGTACCTCAAACTCTTAAGAGAATATTGTACAATAGTTCCCTCCTAACTGAGTCATAGGCTTCCTTGAGGTCTACGAATAGCTGATATACTGTGTCACAGTATTTCCATTTTTTTCTCCAATGAGCAGCAATAGTACAGACATTGTTATATTGAACACTCCTCAGAGGCATGACCTGATTGTGTCATCTTGTTTAAATAGTGAAGCAAGTGTAAAATAGGGTGGTGCAGAAGAAGATGAACATTTTGAAAAACATGGACATAGTAGATATGAGAATAAATAGGGTGCATTTCACTGAGCACTGTCTACACATGAATACCTCTGGTAAGGAAAAGATTACAAGTAATATATCAGATATCAGAAAAACCCTGTCACAGGAATGAAGATAAAGCTTATAATCTGAAATGGAAGCAAACCTCATGCAAGGTAGCCAGGGAGAAAATGGCTTGAAAGAAGGCAGGAAGGACTGTGCAGAAAGAAAGGAAACAGAATGACGATCATCAGGAAGACTTTGTGAACCAGTGACAAAGAAAGGGAATTCTTTATGGACAGTAGCTTGTACAAAAGAAATGTGATGAAAAGTAAGGTATGTAATAGGAAGGGCCATCAATTCTCAATTATAATATTCAGAGCTGAATAATAAAGTGTCAGAATTAGAATTTCCACTACAGTGCAAGTTAATATCTGCAAATGCGCTCACGGTGGTGACTATCATGATAACTACCTTCTGAGATTTGGCATCATGTAGTGTGGTAGAAGTTCACTAACATTTTGTAGGAACAACCTACCTCCTTTACCACAGGCAAAGAGAGGTCAGGCAAGTAACCAGAAAGAAGCATGTGGCAAGCAAAGTTCTGAATTTTTATCCCACTACATTACTTACATGTGAGAAAACAGCTCTTTTCAAGAGTGTGTTTGCTTCTTGTTTAACCACTTGAAACCTTTCAATTATTTTCATGACCTTGGAATGCCATTCAAATTTTCCATTAAATTTAATTATATTTTATTTATACTCATTAGTCAAACCATTGACATAGGATACGTCTTACATATATATCTAAAAGTAACAAATATTTCAACTAAGTTCCTTCAAACTAATCATGCAATACAGGAAAAATTCATGAATGAAAACCAACTCAAATATCATATTTGGCCAATAAACATGATAAAAATTAATCTGCAGAGTAAAATGTATGTTGTAATTGGTAGGATCTCGGCTTTCTTTTAAATTTCCTCCTCTTCAATTCCCATGATTCTATTTTGTAATTGATTGCATAATATAAGTCTCATATTCACTGACAATTTTATAAAATTTATCATCTTCTGAAACAAGCATATCATTAAAACAAAGCCTTTAGATGCTAGAAAATGTTAGAAGAGCATTTATTGGTAGAAGCATATTTGGTAACCTTTCCATTCTGGTTTTCAAAGCAGTCTTTTTTCTGTTACATTTCCATGACAAATGTACCTTTTACTTTGTTGAAGAGCCACAAATAGTTGGCCCTCACTGTTGTAAGTTTGTGGAACACCAGCCTTCTGAAATGAGAAACATACCTAGACCAAAGGAGCCATTGCTTCTAAATGAGATACCCCGTGCATAAAGAGGAAAATGTTAATGTGGCATCTCTTTTTATAAAGTAAGTACTGGAATGTTTCTGTTCTCAGATATCAACGACTCCTGCAACAGGCTCATACTTGGCAATGGGCAGCATCCCCTGGCAGCCCATTTTGTCACCCATGCAACCAGTGTGTGAGAGCCCAGTCTTGGAGCTGACAGAGCAGATGGAATCAATGTGAGCAGGTTCGTCATGCTGTTCGCTTACATCTCCTACTCTGCAGAGTACAGTGCATGCTTTATGATGTATGTGATTGCCATGCTTGATTCTGATTCATGTTATGCTGTTGTCTGCTTGCTGCAATGCCTCCTGTTCTAATGAATACCCTTCTCCATCTTCCCTCCTCCCCTCACTGCTCCATTCCACTTCACTTCACAGCATAGTATAGTTAGAAAAGCCTGTTCTGACTTATCACACTCATTCCATCTTTTCCAAAATCTTTATCTGTTTTGATGTCATTTTGGTTTTCACTGTAGAATGTGTTCTGTTATTCTTTCAGCAGTCATTCTACCCAGATTGTTTACCCAGTCTGTGTTTGTCTGTTTTATTTTGTTGTGGTTGTATTTTTAGTGCTTTCATAATATCTTTATTCTTAATATGGTCTAGCATAGTGCAGCCTTTAACTGTTGTTAAGTATATCATCTCTGCTGACTCTGTTACATTTATGTCTTTTGCTTTAATTGTCCAAGATTCACTTCCATATAGCAAAATTGATAATGCTGCTGCATCGTAACTTTTAAGTTGTGTTTCTCTGCATATTTTAGTCTTTAAAGTTCTTCTTAAGGTACCACATGTTCTGTTATGCTTACCGAGTGTCTAACGAACCTTCAGGTTCCATAAAAGATAGGAATTTGACTAGCTGATTAACTATTACCTTCCCAAGAAGGACTCTGCTTATGCAGCTAGTTAGTTAGGTAGGTGCTTGGTTAGCTAGTTAGGTAGTTGATGTTGCAGTTAAAAGCCTTGAACTTTTCTATTTATATAGTTCTAAAAAATTATGCTTTCATTTAGAGACACATATACTGTATGTCTGTTTGTTATAGTCAGTGTGGCTTATATTATTCTGGTATTCTTTTTCTGCAGCTTTGACTTAGCTAAATGGCTAAGTGTGGAGAAGACAGTATTGCAGTTCCCTTCCATGTTGCAGAACAAACATTACTTGTAACTCCACATGAACTCTCCAGCATGTCAAGTGAAGTGCCAAGTACAGAGAAAAATGTCACAGGCTCTTCATTTTGGGCTTCATTTCGCTGTACTGTTTTGTGAGAGGTATCAGTCCAGTCTGGTCCAGATAGCACAGTGATCTCAGACTGCTGCAGTTTTCAGGCAGATGAGATCTGTTTCTCTATGCCATGTCTGAGAGTCTGTTAATTGAAACCACTGATGCAAAATGGACATGGTCTCAAGAGGTTGTAAACTTATGTTCTTACTGTTGCTTGTTTTAGGAAATTATGCCAGATATTTTAACACAAATATAATGTTAAGCCTGTGTTTCTCATTCAGTGGGAATTGAAAGTTGGCTTTGTGGGGCATGAGGTCTCAAAAATAATGGCTACCATCAAAGTTTAATATAATACCAAAATGTGAAGGTAAAGGTAAAGTTGTTACTGTGCTTAATAAGCACCATGATATGAAGATGAAGGAACAGTGACAGTGTAGCTGCATTCATTCCTAAGTGACACTAGATGGAAGTGAGTGCTCAACTTCATACCACAGCCACCGTGTGACCACTGGAGGATCAGCGGAACTGAGGACTAGTGTTAATGCTATGAAGATGGAAAAACTCTTTAGCCACTGACTGGCTCCTCAGTTGTTCATCCAATATCCTAGTTGCTACATCAGCTGATTTGTGTCTTTTCTGTGGTAGGACTTTGCTACCTGACAAACTAACCTGTTATTCCCAAGATACAGGAGAGGGTCATTGGCTAAGGGGATCTATGGGCATAGTTTTCACGTTATTTATATAGACCATATTTTGTAGTAAATGGATGATAGGGATTCAGTTTTTCTTCACCACCCCATCTGCCCAGCTTTGGGATACTCCCACTTTGTTACTGATTGAGCACTAAGGGCTCTTTCCTGGGTGTAAAGATGACTACTCACCTCTGTCCAGTGGCACTCTCCATACATCTTCATCAACTTCACCTCTATTGAGGGTTCTTTCTGTCCCATGGCTCTACCCGTGAAGTGATCATCAAATACAAGTACATCGTCCCTCAATTCAGGTTCCTGTTAGCAATGAATAGTTCCATAATGATGTTTTAGGAAGTCCAGTGCAGCTCTGATAGTGGAGGAAACATCACTGTGATAAAGATCAGATCAGTCAGGCACTGTAATGCATGTACCATGCAGACTAGGAGTGCAGTCTGAAAGTTGAATACACAGACCATCAGGAAATATTTGCACACTAAAGGGTTTAAGCAATTTGACTCTATAGACTGATTTCAGATTGGCGTCTTTTCCATGGCTTTTGTTTTAACTTTTTATTTGTGGATTATTTTACATTTCTGTCAGTAGCTAGACTATCTAATATCAAATGGTAGGATGATAAATGCATTATGAATTATAAAGGATTTGAAGAGAGGTACTCATGGCTAAATCAATTTGCCTGGAGGAAATGAGGAAAACCAGGTTACTTTTATGTTTTTTTATGATGATATGCAGCGGCACTGTGTTCCTGTTCTAGAGTTTTTATAGGAATGTATAATTTCAGCTTTGAAAGTTTAACTGCAGCATGTGTTGAAGTTTTAACATTTTTCACACATTTAAATTAAATCCAGGATTGCCATGGCAAAAGCTGCATTTAGCAAGAAGAAGAATCTTTTTACCAGCAAATTGGACTTAAATTTGAGGAAGAAACTAGTGAAATGCTACATTTGGAGCATAGCTCTGTATGGGGCTGAAACATGGACACTTAGGGCAGTAGATCAGAAACATCTGGAAAGTTTCGAAATGTGGTGTTGGAGAAGGATGGAGAAGATCAGTTGGACCGATTATGTGAGAAATGAAGAAGTGTTAATTAGAGTCAGTGAGCAGAGGAATATCCTACACGAAATAAGAAAACGGAAGGCTAATTGGATTGGTCATGTTTTACGCAGAAACTGCCTTCTAAAAGAAGTTATCGAAGGAAAGATAGATGGGCGGATAGAAGTGACAAGAAGACGAGGAAGAAGACGTAAGAAGATGCTGGATGACCTTGGGGACAGAAGAGGATACTGTCATTTTAAGGAGAAAGCTCTAGATCGCATTAAGTGGAGGAATTGTTTTGGAAGAGACTGTGGACCTGTTGTCTGACAGATTACTGATGATGATGATGATGATTAGTTGCCATCTTCAGCATGAATGAGGTGGAAGGAGGATGCAGCCTGATATATAGAATTCACGTTAAGAAATAAGATTGCGTATGTGGGGTATGATGCTATTCAATGGGAAGTGGCCATATGATAAACAAGATGGTGACTGCATTGTCCATAAAAATGGAGAAATTTAAACACACAGTGCAGCTAAACCCCAAATGCCAAAATTATACAACAGTATAGTGTACTGACTCCTCTTTAAGTAACCCACGTAAAATAATTTAAAATCTGTTACTTAATGTTATAGAATAACAGAAGTTGGAATCAGTATATTTTTTGTTTACTTCAACTCAAGTTTATTGATTTATTTTTGTCAGCAGTTCTAAAGTATCACTGTCTCCCACCTGACCTTTTATTTCTGAAAAGAGAATGATCACTTGTGTTTTACTACATTTCCTGAACTCATGAATAAAGGTGACAAAACTTTTCATTGAAGACTATAATCCATGTAGCATCCATTTTCTATAAGCTTGGATATTATTTATTTGTTTCCTAGGTTAGTTTGTGTAATTTTATAAACTGATGAGGTAACACAGCATCATGTTAATTATGTCTGAATGACTGTGAGTGGAGAACTGAAGAGTGAGAAGCAGACATTATGGCCTAATAGGATAGAGCTAAGAAGGGCTAAGTAAAACCATAAAATATTTGCACTCATAGCAGCCAGTCCTGACTACTATTCACACAGCCTTGTTGGTAAGATTGGAGAACTGACAAAAGTTTGGTCTAGCCTGTAAAATTGTTTAGGTTTCCTATGATGGCCTATATACTGACAAGTCATGACATAAACACTCATTTTATGGCTCATTTTAAATGGTGTGTATTGCAGGAAACTATATGTTATACATAATAGGTTAAGAATGAATATTCTAAACATCCAAATATTAAAACATTCTCATGCCTTCATGAAGTTCTGTCACAGAGATGGACAGATATTTCAGTTAATGGGCCATAAATAAGTGTAAAACCATTTCATGCTGTTTATATTTATTTACTTTTTTATTCAATTTTTATTAATGCTCAGGGTATTTAAGTGTAAAGAACATAAGGTAACGTAGGTCCCTTTGTTAGTTTTTAGTTTCTTTAAATATTCAGTCACATGAAGCTCTATCTATCTTGGTATGGCCTTCAATATTTCATATTTTGCAAAGAAGATACATAAATTTAATTCACTCTCGACTTAGGTGTGTGAAAATAACGGTGAACATAGATTTGTGCTGGTATTTGTTGACATTTCAAACCAATCATTTGCAGCATTTTGAAAAATAACTTTATAAATCATCATGAAAATATAAAACCGAAAATAATTCCTGTCAAATACCTCAGTATGAAAGTGTTAACAGTCAATGAATAAGTTATAATTAGAAATCTTATGGAAATATGCAGCCTGGTATTGTGCCTACTATTGATATTTTCATTGTTCCAGAATTCTCCTCTCCCTTTCAGACTCAGGTAATCAGAATAGATAAATTTGTCGGGAATCATGGATTCTTCAACAATAAAAATATCTTAGACTTATGAATTTAAGAGTGATGACTATAAAGAATACTGTCTTCTGGGGTATTATGTTAAATAGTCAGGTGAAATATCACTAATGTTTCAAAGGAACCTACTGCCTCCATCTTCCAGGTTAAACATACACTAAGCAAGCAGCCAATTATATGAGCCACATGTCAGAAATATGGTTATCTATGGGCATGGATAGGAGCCCAGAATAATCAATAGGAGCAAGGAGAAGATTATGGAACATGGCCCTAAAAATCTGTTATCCACTTCCTTTCATTGCCTGGTTATCAGATCTTGAACAGTGAAGACTGAAGTAGTATATTCTTTTTAAAAATGATAAAACTTCTACAACACTACATGGCAACACATTCCAGAAGACAGTATTCTCCTACATAAATAAGAACATTTTGTTTCTTCGTTCTCCTAATTGTGGTCATTCTTATAACAGGAAAGAATAGTAACAGTCATTATTGTTGACAGAGACCAGCCCATTTCTGCAGAATGTGATCACATACTTTGGTGTTCTGATGTGATGAGACTGGAATAATATACTAACAGAATTGTGTGTCTGAGGTCTGAAAGGGTTATGCAGCCCATTTCCTGAAAACTTTTTCATCCCTTCACTATAGAATTGAAAAGGTGTAAGAAAGCTGACATTCCAGATCTCATAGTATGACTGAAATTTTCTCCACCAACAAGAGGCTGTTTGCCACATCTCACTGGACAGGGAACATAGTGACATTGTGTGGACAATCTGAGCAATAACTTGTAGCAAGAAATAGAGGAATTAGTATATGTGCAGTGCAGTCAACATGAGTGACTGTAGCAATAATTTTATTAATTTAATTATGTAGTAGGCTTATAATATATTTATTATGTAATTTTTTGATGTTCAAGCTTTGCCTTCAGTTTCTTTTTATATGCAAGTACCTCTGCTGGTCAGAGGGAAATGTTTTGTTACACCAAAGAGTTTTGTGTTTGACATTTAACAATGTGTGTGTTTATTTAGTCTGTGTCTCCAGTAGAATACACAGCATAGCAGCCAACATTTGTTTTATTTCTGTCTGACAGAGCTCATTGCTGAGAAACACCCATACAGAATGTAAAATTCATATGGATCATGGAGTTTGATTTAACAAGAATGTTACTGCACACCATCAAGAAAGTTGTACAAATTTTGTTTTTAATGTGCAGACTGGATCTGTTATCTTTTGGAAATGTTGCAGATTGTCAATATTTTGGGATGACAGTAACAAATAAGAATTGCATTCTGTAGGATTTGAGGTCCTCACAGTGGTGATTAAGAAGAGTCTTCTGGGATATAACACCGTGTAGTCCATTGAAAGTAAACCAACGTTTCAGAGGAACATATTGCCTCCATCTTCAAGGCTCTGCTTGCCACCTGCTTCCTGGTTGGTGTCTTGCTCAGCTAGTTCTTCAACCCTGAGCATGGGGAAGAAATGTTCCTCCAAAACATCACTTGTCTTTCAGGGGACTATACAGCATTTTATCCCAGAGGACAGTACTCTTCAAGAATCGCATTCCTGAGGAAATGAATATCAGATCAAATTTGGAGAATGCTTTCTGCTATTCAGTTCAGAATCTTCTTTCATCTTTTCTGCTGTCTAAAAGTATAAAGATTAAAATAAACAGGACTTTAATGTTCCGCATTATTTTGTGTTGGTGTGAAATGTGGTGTCTTACATTATGAGAAGAATATACACTGGGGGTTTTTGAGATCGGAGTGCTGGGGAAATTAGGAATATTTGGACTTAAAAGGGAAGAAGTAACAGGAGGATGGAGAATATTGAATAATGAGGAGCTTCATAATTTGTACCTCCTTTCGAATATTACTAGGATAATCAATTCAAGGAAGATGAGGTAGGTGGAATATATATTATGCATTGGAGAAATGTGAATGTGAAGTTTAGGTAAGAAAGCCTGAAAAAGAGACCCACTTGGAAGATTTAGGTGTAAATGGAAGGTTACTTTTAAAATGAATTTTAAAGAAATAGGATTAGGAGTATGGACTGGATTCATCTGGCTCAGAAGAGGGACCGGTGGTGGGATCTTGTGAACATGGTAACAAACCCTTGTTTTTCATAAAATGCTATGATTTTCTTTACTCTATGCCAGGGGTCTCCAAAGTTTTCGAACCGCGGGCCACATTAGGTGATTCAGCACTTTCAACAGGCCGGATAAAATGAGAAAGTAATAACTCCAGGTATATGAGTTTTATTGAAAGCACAGAATTTCATAAACTAAATACGAAGTACGTGAGAATAAATTATCGCATATTAATGACAACAGACAGTAGCAGCAAATGCTCATATTTTCATCACAAATTATAATAAAACAATGAATGTGAATGATGGAACTCTTTTTTCATTCTTAAAATCTGATCAAATTGAGGTTCAAATTTTGAAATGCTAATCACAAGTAACGACTTTAAATGTTCGTCGGATAAATTTGCCCTGTATTTCGACTTGATGTACTTCATCTGGGAAAAAGTATGTTCACACAGATATGTCGTCCCAAAAATGGAGATAAATTTACAAGAAATTTCTTTAAATTTGGAAATTGCTCAGAGTTCAGAAATTTATAAAAATTTGATCAAATTTCCTTCCTTGTATTTGTCTTTAATATGGTAATTTTCCTGAAGTTCAATAATTTCCATTTGAATTTGACTTGGGACATCTGCAGCATCACAGTCAAATGGACTTTGAAACAATCTCATTTTCTGAGCACTGGAATCCAAATCAGCAAATCGCTTCCAAAATTGTTCTTTCAAATCTGAAATGACTAAATTTGCAAAGGAGGAAGGAAATTCTGCTTCACCCTTTTTATGCAACTCTGTTCAGTATAGCATATGAACAAAGTTACAATTTTTCACTTGGCTTTCCAGAAGTATCAACTTTGCTCTGAATGCCTTGATAAGTGCAAATAAATCACAGACTAAGTTATTTTCACCCTGCAACTTTAAATTCAAATGGTTCATATGGTTCACCAGATCAGCAAAAAATGCTAATTTCCAAAGCCACTCGGTATCTGATAAAAGTGGTTCGTGATGGTTTTTCTCGATAAGAAATATATCGATTTTATTCCTGAGCTGAAAGAAGCGCAAAAGAACCTTTCCACAGCTAAGCCATCGAACTGCAGTATAATATGTCAGGTCAATAAGCTCGGAATCACATTTACCAGTACTCACTGGAAAATTAGTTCAATTGGCGCATTTCTGCACAATTCTTTCGCGGGCCGGATAGAATCACATCGCGGGCCGCATGTGGCCCGCGGGCCGTAGTTTGGAGACCCGTGCTGTATGCAACTATCAGCTTCTCAAGAAAACCCGTCTTCCATGGAGATAGTTAACTGAATTTATTAGGTTCATGATATTGACCTATTTCATGGTAGCACTAAGCCTGGCTCATGAATACAAACAGTGTGTTGTGACTTGAAGTCATGACCTACTTCCCTAGATAATGAAATGTGGTTGCTAGGCCATACATTGTGCTCCTTAGTGGGCACAAGCCCAATATTGCATTCTCCATTGTTCTTTTGTCAGTCTCAGCAGCATGTGCTCTCTGTTCGTCATTTGCTGGACTTCTACCAGAAGGCAGCAGGGACCACAGTGTTTACAGAAACACTGTAAACTAAATCTCAGTGACACAAAGATTTCATTCAACTGTACATATTTCTGGTTTAGGCGATACATTTTCCCATATTATTATTATTAGGTAGTGTTGCATTGTGATATCATGTAAAGAAAGAGTGGACGATTACTTTTATCCAGAAACCAGATGGGGCTATTCTGTATTAATTGCAAGGCACAGGGCCTCACATAAAGTTATCTTTTGTTAAATACCTTGTGGTTATTCACATTAACTGAACATAGTTATGAATAGACAGAAATATATGGAAGGAACAACCTTAATTACCAGCTGAGAAGCAAGATAAAATTTAACATGTGATCTTTTTCTTTTCATCCCTCACCCCCTTTCTTTCCTTATCCCCTTCACATCTATGTCTCATTTCCTCTTTTATCCTTTAAAACAAAAAAACAAGTTACATTCTTATCCTTCAGATGGCATAGTTTAAAGCATAAGGCTGCTGCCTGTGTAAGTATATAAAATCAACTACAACATGAGAATTACATAATGGACATACATGTATGACAAACACATACAAAGTCATAACTGTCTGCCATTACATATTGTCATGTGTAGGAATGACTTACAAGTGGGGTTTTGGATTGGATGATTGGATTTACTGCATATTATACATTCACACCATTTAGGACCGCAGGCAATACAGCACTATCACTATTCTACACACTTTCCAGTTCACCGTTGCACACACATTAGGATTCTCAGTCTTCACTAGTTGTCTCCTGGCAACGGATTTATCACAGTGTCACTGGCCCTTCAAATCACAAGTGTAGTCAAAGCTGCAGCCATTCCCTGCGATTTGTGAACACCAGTGAACATTTTTGGAACCCATCTAGTGAAAGATTTGTGACAGCCTAGCCTTACTGTGATAAATCTTGTAGAGAACAGTGAGTGAGATTTGAGGAATTAACACGAAAAGTTCAGAAGTGGTGAAGCGTCATCTTTCACTTTGAACAAGATCATAATTCACATGCGCGAATTCTCCACCCGCACCTGCATTAGCTGCATAAAATAAACGGAGGTTACTTTCCGAATAGCCTTCGTATATTACTCACTACAAACGGCCAATCATATTCGTTCACCCGCCCGTCTTTCAACATACTACACCAGTGTCTTACAGTTGCCTATTGCGGGACATGTCATAGTTCACTCTGTAGAGACAAGAACAAACACTAAGTGACCAGTGATATGATGGTTTACAAACCAATGAGTCATATGACCCTACATCTCATGCACAAATTCTCTGCCTGCTACTGCATTAGTTGCCTAAAATAAACGGAGGTTACTTTCCGAATAGCTTTCGTATATTACAAAGATTTTCAGACTAATGGGGAAAAACTCCCTATACTTCTAGTTGTACGTGGTACTGGACAGGAAGAAGCCAGGTGTGGGAAGTATAAGCTTAAATTTGATGGAGGTCAGGCCTAGGACCGTTCAGCTGACTAAATGCAGTTTCATAGTAATTGTATAAGGCAGAAAAAGTTTTCATTGACAGGAAACCTCTGTATACCTTGTATAAATGTTACTTAGTATAGTGCAGTAACAAAGAATGCACAAAGTCCATAGCGACCTCGACGCCATGACAGCACGAATACACTCGTGCTGAAACTACGGCGTAAAAAGTGTAGCGCCGCCAGCACCGACGCTACCTTCATCGAAGAGGAGGCCCCATTTCGAAACACATGCATGTCTAGGAGAGAATTAAAATCTTGGTCATGGATCTCGTTGAGACTGAAGCCAAGAATGACTGTGCTGGCGAAGCCCAGAAGAAATTTAACCAGCCAAACAACCGAGGGCCAGGAGTAGAGGCTATGAGGAGCTATGAGCTATGAAACAGTCGCCAGCTGGTAAGGACTTGAACACGGAAGCCGAGGAATGTATGGCGTTGAGAGCCGTTACCAGGCAACAACCGGAGAAGACACAGCAAACTTCGAAGACTTGGTGAGGGCTGTAGTGAAGTGTAGAGTGAGTGAATTAGCGACAGGGCTATAAATAATTGTAGTTACAAATTTTGAGAGTTCAATTAATCCAATTACCAATCCAAACCCCGTGTCTATTCACTTAACACGTAATAATATTTTTATTAATATTGGGCACATAAGATAACATATCATTAAGGATTGTATCTTTCATTTGTTTTTTATTTCGTATTTTGTTTGCCGCCAATTATCATCTGGAAAATGAAACAATTCTTGATCACTTCAGATTCATATCCCATAAGAAGTGTCAAAGAAATTACGCCATCAAAATTTCGGCCTCTGAGACCTTTGCGACGTTTTGCGACAAACTCACCCATCTCGCCACAGTAAGCTGCTGGAACGAATAACTTTGATAGAGCAATTTTTTTTTTATTTACATATATTCTCTGTAGTTGATACCAGTTGGTGAACCGTGGGTTATACCGGTTATACAATAGTCTCTGGTAGGAAGTATCCATTCAAATTTTGAATAGCTAAATGTGTTTAATGTGTTTGACTTAGGTGTTGGACGGAATTATTTTGTCAAATGCGTGTTCGGTATTTTAGTGTTCTTAATGTTTCATATGAAGAGTTCTTACCTAGGACCTTAGGTTGCCCAATTCTACATCTCGTAAAAGAGTAAAGAACATGAATACAGGGCAGTCCGATCCACGAAATTCAGAATCCGAAAGTTCAATATTGCAAACGATTCCATCGCCAGCAGATACAAATACGAAAGTGAGTTTCGTTTTATAAGAAAATGTTTTTTTTAGGGTTGGGGGTTTAAAATATGGTATACGAGAGGCCCACACTTGAATTGATCACTCGTAACTGAATTAATAGTTGTAATAGTCATGAACTGTATCAATTGAAGTGTCAGTTTATATTTTATATAAACTATAAAGCGCGTGTATTATATTCCAGGTGCCAGATATACAGGATTTTAATATTATAAAGCCAATAAGCAGAGGATCGTTTGGGTAAGTATCTAAGTTATACCACCTGCAGAGTTAGATTATGATGGGGCATATTTCATATGGGTTTAATTTTCTGTGATAATTTTGTTGGGTTATGTCTCAAATACTGTTGAGATTTATGTGCATAGCTTTAGTATTCTGGAATTGTTTTGTTTTATTATCCTAGTAATATGTAAATAGATTATTGTATACTTGAACAAAATCATAGTGTAAGATGTGATGCTAACTTTTTCGTGCTGTTAGCGCCGTTTTTATTTTCCGTGTTCGGTTTATGTCATGCATGAAAGTGCTACAAGAATGCAGTCTAGTTGTTAGGTGGGTGAGTAAGACGTCGTGTTAGGATAAATCTGTATTTCTTTTTCATATGGAAGAATACAACCTTAAGGTAATGACTTAATCATGAGATACATACCATTTTAAGAATTAGCTGCACTGAAAAATGAAATTAATATCAGTACCTAATTTTAATAATTAGCAGTTTGGAATTATGGATTGAATATATCAGTTTGAAGTTTACCATTAAAGTAAAGTTGTCCCCGTGCTAAACTCATTAAGCACTGCGCCATGAAGGTGTATGGGAGAATGGATGTACAGATCCACATTTTCTTGACCTTGGCACTAGCTGGAGGTGAGTGGTCAGCTTAATGCCCCTGCCACTTTAACCCTAGGGAAGGAGGCCCCAATGCCCATTGGATAGGAGGTTGGGTGGGCCCCAGAGCTGGTCTGGATGATGTGGAGAAGAGAAAATTTTTGACCCTACTAGGACTCAAACTCTGACCCCTTTGTTGTCCAGCCTGTAGCTAGTCACTGTACGGACTGTGCTAAGTTTACCATTGTGTACTAAATGTATGTAGTGGATTTGGAATGAACTGACACATATAAGAACAACAGGAAAAGTAGTTTTTAATACCTCTACTTGAAATTTTGGGCTGCTATAATGATTTATCCTGTGAGGCTTCCAGCATGAATTATTGCAGTTGGCTAGAGTGTATTACAGTACAGTCTCTTCAAAGTGATGAATAGTGGCAAATGTCAGAATATGTTCTATATGACAGGAAGTAAGTTATAATTTTGTTATTATTGCTACATTTCATTCCTCTAAGTGATGCAACAGTTCTGCGTTTCAGTCATCTAAGTGTATGAGTTAACACAGTTTACATTGATGGCATGTTGCAGCAAAGTTTTTTTAGGCTACAAGAAGAGCAACCCAGACCAAGTGTATGCCATAAAGGTGATGAAGAAGTCAGAGATGGTGAACAAAAACATGGCCAGCCAAGGTAATTGCATTGCTGGATGCTCTTGTCTATTTTCATGGGTTATTTAACAGTGTTTTTCTGTATCAACACTATGTCACTAGATAGTAGGATGATAGATGTTTGATGATTTGGAAAGGATTTGGAAGGAAGTGGTTGTGTCCTCACTGAGGTACTATCCCAGCATTGGCTGGAGGGACAGAGGAAGACCACTAACAACTTCAGTCAAGATAGCCAGTATGCTGGCCAAGATTCAAACTGAGCATCTCCCAGATATAAGTCTGGAGTCAGATTGGGATGTTTGATCCTTGACTGAGGGATTTATAGATCTTCCTTTGTTCCTCAACATGATGTATGGTAGAACATTACAGTGCTTTAATGCTTTAATGAGACTTGCTTCTGTATAAAGGATGGGAAGCTATGCACATGTGTGTGTTTATGTTCTCTGGATCTTAGAGCCCTATTTTCTGAAATAGTCCAAAAGTACTGATTTAGTCTTGCATTTTAATGATTTTCTGGTATAGAAGTTACTGTATTTTTGGGGCTTTAAAACCATCTATATTATAGAGGCTTTAGGAAAACCCAATGTAAAATATAGCTGAAGATCTTGTCGAGAATATTAAGGTTACTGTTTTCTAGGATATGATGCAATGTAGTTGATAGATAGGTACCAGCATTTCATGGGAAATTGTTACCTTCATCTTCGTGATTTGTCTGCCATGAGCATATTTATGAGTGAAAAGAGAGTGGAAGTTGCTTTGTGGAGAAGTTAAAGGTCATGATTATATTACTGATTGAAATGTGCCACCAGGACATTCTTCTGGGTTTGCTAAAAGTGTGTCCTGTTACATATTAAGAAGTCGTTTGTTTGTGTATGTCCCCTCAGTATCTCCTTAGTTCAACTTCCAACAAGATTTTTCAAACTTACAGTGTTCTCTTTGTTTTGAGAGCCTGGCTGTGGTAAGTAACCCCATGGAGCAAAGTTCTTCTAGAGAAACTAGTAGTCGCTGAGCTGGTCAAGAAATTCCCCACCTTCTGTGGAACCCGGAAGTTCATTAGGTAATGAACCTTCAGGTTCACACATTGCTGTGTTCATAAGTGTCCACCACTGGTCTCTGTCTTGATCCAGATGAATCCAGTCCATACCCTCACATACCCTCTCTTATGATATCCTCCCATCCACACTTGGGTCTCCCAAGTTGTTTCTTCCCTTCATATTTTCCAACCAACTCTTTGTATGACTTTCTCATCTTGTCCCTATGTGCTACATGTCTTGCCCTTCTCATCGACCTTGATTTTATTGTCGTAATAATGTTGATTCAGGGTGTCACTGGAACAGATAGATTTGTCACTTAAACAATACCTAATTGCTGTCTGATTGCAGCTTTTGAAATCATGATGTTATATTCACCTTCTAATGCAATCAATGGTATCATAAATTTGTGTACAGATTGGCAATGAGAAAATTGTGAGAGTGATGTATTAAATTTGGCAGGACATAAGAATTTTGGGTGTAAAGAACTGGAGGAATGTAGCATTGAATAGAGAAGAATGGCGAGCAATCCTGAGGAAGGCCAGGGCTCACAAAGGGCCTGCAGCCCCTGGGATTCTTGGGACTCTTAGCATTCTGCATGAAACTCTGAAGATTTGCTTCACTTTCTTTAGTTGTAATACCACATAACACAACATTCTTGCCATATGGGATTTGGGGTTCTCATAAGTGACCAAAAAGATTACAGTTTCTGGGTTAAAACACTGAGTAAAGTGGTAGATATCACTCTGATGATGGAGGCTGCTGGTTCCTCTCAAACACTGGTACCTATTGACCAGACTGTGTGACATCACATCCCAGGAGTCAGGCTACCAAACTATACGGTGTGACACTGTAGAAGGCAGCAATCTTCATATTTGTAATGGGTTTGCAGTGGTGATGGAGAGGAATGCCCTTGCATTATCACACAGTCCATTCTGTGTTCAACTGTTCTACTCCCTGCAGACCAACCACAACATTTACCTGGTAAGTCAAGAGGGAGATAGATAGTTGCATAATACTTGTACACATTTGTTGCCAAATGGATTCTTGTATTGAAACTTCCCAGTGGGCATCTCATTTCACGAAAATCTGTTTGGCACTTCATGCATGCAGATGGATGGACAGGATGAATTTAATAGGCACCCTACAGAGTTGCAAATGCACATGAAAGAGACTGGAGATGAAGATTCAAATCATAAGGAACCTGCTACAATATTTTTACATCATGTTAACTGCAGTGACTACAAAGTAAATGTCATAATATATTTGGGTGGTCTCTGGTACGTGACTTAGATTGATGAATATTTTGTAACACTTAAAATGTGGTCAGTTTGTGTGTATGTGTTCTCTCTCTCTCTCTCTCTTTTTCTTGGTCCATGGTTGTGGCCATCTGGTAACTGCTCTTGCTTAAGTTCAATTTTTATGTTGTATGTTGTCAGGTGATGGAATACCTAGTAGGAGGTGACCTCAAATCCCTTCTCAGCATCTACGGTTACTTTGATGAGAACATGGCCGTGTTCTATGCTGCAGAGATAACATTGGCACTGGAATATCTCCATTCACATGGAATCACACACCGTGATCTCAAGCCTGACAACATGCTACTTACTGACTGTGGCCACATCAAACTCACAGACTTTGGACTGAGCCGCATATCTGAGTTTCGGAGAGGTTTGTATGAACTTAATTACGTTTGAGTGACATCTGTGAGAGAAAATGATATTTATTTATGTAAACAATGACAACAGCCCTTCACTTGATGAGGTGAGCACTGGTATGTAATAACTTAAGTCTGTTAGGTGACAGGGTAGACTGTGGATGTGTTAATGTGGATCTGCCAGATATTGCGGTCAAGTGGGTAGGGCTTCTATTGTTTATTTTTGACAACCTGAGTTCACATCTTGCCCTGAAGACCAGATATCCTGACTGAGATGGTTCTTCATTCCTTTCCAGCTTGTGCAAAGGTAATAACTGAAATTAGGTCAAGGCTGGTTCCTTCCATTTCCTTTCCAACCAGTTAGGAGGTCTGGCGTTGTCATGCTGAAGCAGTACCCCGTTTATCAGTCGTCCTGAACGTTTTCTGCAAATTGCATCCTGAAGCTTCACCAGAACATCGCAGTATATTATTGTGATAGATCATTGTATAATTTTTATGTGACTTTGGCATGTGATGTATTATTTCTTGACATGTCCAATTGTATTCACTTCAGTTATGGATGAAAATAAAGTTGAAAATTGAAAATAATCCAAGTTTCCCATACTTTCATCGTCTCCACTGGTCACATTATACTTTCTATTACGTACTTGTTTAATAGGCACAGTTATTTATAAACACGTAAATTAGTCAGAACTCTGTAAATGAGTAAGATCAATCAATCATGGAGTTCAAAATTAACACTAATGCTGCATACTATATTTTAAATCACTTCATAACATTTGGCATAAAAGGTCGCTGCACATTCACAGACAGCAATTAGTCACATTTGTGGCATACTTTGAAACTTTTGTGTCCGTTTAGTGCCTCCATATGTGGTCTGCGGTCTCAGCATGTTCTCCAAACCATGGGGGAGGACCAGTGTTCTTCACATTCTGTCTTTGGTAGAGTTGAAAGTTTCATTGCCTGAACAGCAAAGTCTTCCTCCTCTACTAGGGCAACAAATTTTCACATGATGGGCCAGGTACTACCCACATTCAGAAATATTGAACCTTTTTAGAGGTATTGGTGTAGGTCAGATAAACAAAATTTTGTATAATCTCTATTCTCACAGAAGAACGTTGCAACACCCCGACTCCCAGATCCCTCACACAGTCCAAACATTACAGTAAATTTGTTGGAAACTTGTAGACATTGCAGAACGTGTGCGGATCCAGTACAATAAGCGGGGACAGGAAGTTTAAGTTTTTAACTGAGTGAATAAAAATAAAGCAAAGAATTAAAGCTATCCCTGTAACAGGCTGTGGAGACCCATAGGGTTGTGAGATGTTGATGTTCCCACATTTTCTAGACAGTCGGCTCATAGATGGCGGCAGGGTTGTCAGCCTTATATGCCAGCCATGCTTTACCCCCAAGAATATTCCAGGTTCTCATTTCTCTTAGAGGCTGAGTTGACCCCGGGGCCATAGTGCGGCTGGAAGGATTAGGTCAATTGAAAAAATCCAGTGACCTCATTGGGACTTGAACCTGCGACCTTCCAGCTTGTAGCATAATGCCTCAGCCAACTACACTACTGCGTGCCCCCAATTGGGTGAATAGCATGACTTATTCTATGTATGCAGATCTGGAAATATCGGACCTGGTGACCGAATCGGAGGCTGGACTTTCCTTCAGTCGTACCCCAGGACAGCTGTTGTCACTCACCTCACATCTTTCATTCGTAAGTATACATTTTTCAGGTATTTTTGGTTCCCTGTAATAAATTCTGGGTGATTTGTCTTCCATTAATTTTTGTGCTGCGAGCCCTTAACTACAACTAATTCATGATAATTAATTTTGATTCAAATTAAATAACATTAATTATAATTTTGGCTGTGCCATAACTCAAGTGGTTAGTCGCTGGCTTCCCACTGCGGTAGCCTGGGTTCGATCCCATGTCTGGTCAAGTGAGATTTGTGGTGGCCAAAGTGGCGCTGGGGCTCGTTTTCTGGGAGTACTTTGGTTTCCCCTGCAAATATTCATTCCACCAATTGCTCCACAATCACCCTCCCCTATCATCTGGGGCTGGTACAATAGGCCAGAAGTGGCCGCAGTACAAGGGACTTAGACCCACCCCACTAGCAATAAAAAAAATAAAAATAATAGCATGAACAGTGATAATGAAATAGTATGGAAATATACTGACTTAAGATCTAGTTCCATGTGACGGTTTCAGAAAATGAACAGCTGCCTGAAGATAGTCAAGCAAGGCCAAAACATTTAGCAGTTGATATGATTTTCATGCTGTTTTAAATTAAAGAGAGAGTGTGAGAAATTTTAAGTTGCATTAAAGACAGAGGTGAATGAGTGAGTTGTACATCGCTGCAACAGATTGTTCATATATAATTCTGTTTTTCTAAGATCTATATTGTCTCGTGTTAGGTATGTGACACGCGACAAATAACTTTACGCCATATTGAATGTAGGAGATTTATTCCACATTCACTCTCACAATTACACAAGTACTGCCATCTGCAATATCACAAATACTTCTCCTGCTCTCGGCGACTGCTAGACTGCAACTGACTTCGGCAACTTCACGATCCACACTGTGTCACTCCTAATCGCACACTCTCTTCAGATACTGCTCAGCCGGCTTTTTATACTGCTCCCTGTTGCCTGTGTCAACAGCGGTATCCCCTGTTACGTCACGGCGGGGGAGGGGGCCGGAATGTTGACTGGCCTGTTACCGTAGCAGCGACAGCGCTCCGACACTGTTACATCACCGCTGGCAGGGGGAGGGGGTGTCCTGCATAGCGCAACTACGTCACAATATTAATACCCTCCCCTCTACATCCAGTATCTTTCTTTCTCCCCACTGAAACATTAGGCATTTCTCGTCTCTTCCATGTGTGCTGCATGCCTTAGCCATCTCATCTCCTTTTACTTGATTGTCCTATTTATATTTGGTGAGGAGTACAAGTTAAGCTCCTCATTATGCAGTTTTGTTCTAGACACCTCAGGCCCAGATATTCTCATCATTTTGTTCTTCCGTTAATGTCAGAGGCCAAGTTTCTTCTGGTAGTGAGAGTGCTTAAATCAAGGGCTTTAAGGTAGGCAGGATATGTAATGTGTGAGGCAAAGTTCTGTTTGGATAATCTCATGGAAAGAGATAATTTGGGAAATCTGGGCATAAGTCAGAGGAACACAGTCTTGGGAAAATGGATTTTGAGGCTGTGAACTGGGTTTTGTTGGTGCAGGATACAGCCACTGATTGGAGTTAATGAATCATTAGTTCCCATACCAGCCTACAACTTGTTCAGTTTGAATGGTGGTGCTGTTTGTATGATGCAGGGCTCAGGTCAGAGTGGCATGCTGCCTGGTGACACGCACCTCAGCATGTCGTCCAGCTGTGAGGACCCAACACAGAACCTCACACCCTTCTTGGAGCAACGTGAGGGCGAGGCAAGTATGTACTGGTTTCTTTGTATGGTTGTCAAGAGTTATTACAATAGTTGGGACTGTGGCAAATTTATTTTACATTCATTTTAATGTATTACAACTTTCTGGACTGTAAGATATGAAGAAGTTCTGATTGCACAGATGCAATAACACTTTGTATTTATGTTCCTGCTGTGTATATTTTTCCTTAATTTAAATCACTTTCTAATTTTCCTACCATTTCAGTTGTTTTAGTTCTGAGTTTTGCACCCTTTTTTCTTCTTCTTATATTAACTCTTTGACTGGCGCGGGCATGTTTTAACGTCAGGGCGATGCCAGCCGTTCCCTGGCGTTGGCGTGTTTTAACGCTTTGAAAATCTCTTCCCTTATTTGCTCTCTTGGCTCTCATCAACCAAAGACATATATATGATAGTTTTTGTGCATGGTTGTAAAGAACCCTTGTAAACTTTGTGGGGGTCTATATTACTGTCAGAACCCTGCGAGAAGGAAAAGTTCAAAAAATATTTCACATTCATTCAGTTTCACCATGGCTTCTCGCAGCAAGTGTCG